ACGCACAAGAGCCCTGCGACGGCGCCCAAGCCCATGCCCCCACGGCCGCCCCTGCCCAACCAGCAGTTTGGGGTCTCCTTGCAGCAGTGAGTATGCGAGAGGCGAGAGGCGGGCTGGCCGGGCCGGGCCGGGGCGGGCAGGGCTGCAGAGCCGCTCACCGCTCTCACCCCCACAGCCTCCAGGAGAAGAACCCAGAGCAGGAGCCCATCCCCATCGTGCTCCGGGAGACTGTCGCCTACTTGCAGGCCCACGGTGAGTGCCACCCCCGCCCTCCACGGGGTCCCCCAGCCGCTGAGCAGGGCTTGGGACTCACCAGGCTGCACTGTTTGCCAGCTCTCACCACCGAGGGGATCTTCCGGAGGTCGGCCAACACCCAGATTGTGCGGGAAGTGCAGCAGAAATACAACATGGGTGAGTACGGGGCCGGGGCGGGTGCTGGGGGTTGGGGCCGGGGCGGGTGCTGGGGGTGGGGGCCGGGGCGGGTGTTGGGGCTGGGAGTCGGGGCGGGTGCTGGGGGCTGGGGGCCGGGGCAGGTGCTGGGGCTGGGGGCCGGGGCAGGTGCTGGGGGCCGGGTGCCGGGTGGGTGCTGGGGGTGGGGGCCGGGCAGGTGCGCCGCTGCTCCAGGCCCCTCCGCCTTCTGCAGTGCCATAAGCAGGGTCCCAGGCTTTCTTCCTGGCACGGGCTTCTGTGGCATTTGGTGTCACTATGCAGGTCCCGTCCCCCTTCTGCCTGGCCGTCCCTGGCTCTGGGCTCGTTCAGGGGCAGGGGATAACTGCACGTGAGCCGGGGCCCACTCCACCCACGTGGCCTGAAGTGCACGCTGGTGTCCCTGAGGAAGAGGACAGGCGGGGCGGGAGGAGGAAGGGCTGAGGGCAGAATCGGGCAGGGAGGGCCTGCCGGGCCCCAGACGGCCAAGCTCCCATCCCCTCCCCCAGGGCTGCCCGTGGACTTTGACCACTACAATGAGCTGCACCTGCCAGCAGTCATCCTCAAGACCTTCCTTCGGGAGCTTCCCGAGCCCCTGCTGACCTTTGACCTCTACCCCCACGTGGTGGGCTTCCTCAGTGAGTGCCCCTCCCCTACCCCCACTCGGAGCTGTGCAGGCTTCGGCCAGGTCAGGTTGGACTTGGGGTGGGCTGGGCTTGGGGCAGGTGTGTTTGGCCCGCAGTTCGCCCACTGTGCCCTGCAGGCTGTGGGCCTCCGCGTCTCCCAGGGAAGTCTTCCGGGGTCTCCCCCAGAGCCTCGTGGCGGGACTTCCGGCAGCAGCCACTCCTGGGGCCCCTGTAACCTGGGCCCCGTTCCCCGTAGACATTGACGAGAGCCAGAGAGTGGAGGTGACGCAGCAGGTCCTCCGCACGCTGCCGGAGGAGAACTTCCGGGTGCTGTGTTTCCTGACTGCCTTCCTGGTGCAGGTGAGGCCTCGGCCCGGCCCTGCTGCTCACCTGTGCGGGGGAGGGGGAGGGGCGGGGGGGCCGCCATCCTGGTGACTGTGGGCAGTGGGGGGCAGGGTATGTGGCTTCCTGCTGCAGTCCCCCGACTTCCGCCACAGATTTCTGCCCACTGTGACCAGAACAAGATGACCAACACCAACCTGGCTGTGGTCTTCGGCCCCAACCTGCTGTGGGCCAAGGATGCTGCCATCACCCTCAAGGCCATCAACCCCATCAACACCTTCACCAAGTTCCTCCTGGACCACCAAGCGGAGCTGTTCCCTGACCCCGACTCCAAAAAGCTCTGAGCCCGGCTCCCGTCCCCCCGCCCCCTGCCCTGGTAGCTCCACTTCGGACTCTTCCTTCTGCCATCAGCCGAACTGGAACCCGGGCCCCCCGCCCAGCAAGCGACCACAGAGCCCTGGGAGATGGGCCCTGGGGCCGGCCACCATGGCAGCTGTCCCCTCTGCCCCGCCCCCTCACCGGCCCCAGAGGCCTCGCTGTTACCATACGAGTTTCTCTTCGCCTTATACCTCTCACTGCCTCTCTGGATGCCTGGCTCCTGCCATGCTCCGCCGAGCTGGGCTTGGCTCTTCCGGCCGGAGGACGGAGCCCCAGTAGCCCCTTTCCTCTTTTTCCTGCCTCTGTGGCCCTGGCAACCGGGGATGACCAAAATCCCTGCCGGCTGGGTTAGTGGCTGGGCCCGGCCTCTCCTCCCTGAGTTCTGGGGAATGAACAGTTGAGCTCCTTGGCTTGGCCTGGCCATACGAGGCGCCTCCGTGTCTGGGTTTGGTGCCCTGCGTCTGGAAGGGCCGCCGCACGTTGGCCTGGATGCAAGCTCTCTGCTCCAGTCTGCTCCACTAAAGGCTCAGCTTCGGGCGTTCCCGGAGCTAAGGAATGGCAGCACGGGGGTCAGCCTCCTCCTTCTGCCTCCCCCTACGCGTGCCGGGGCAGCCTTCCCCAAGTGGTGCTGCCCCAGGGGCTGCTGGCCCCTTGGTCCTGCCAGGACTGGCAGCTTGGATGTTGGGGCTCCGAGTCCCAGCATCCACTGGAAATAGACTGCTGTGCCCCCGGGAGCTTGAATGTCTGGTGGGATCCGTGACAGGCAGACGCAGCCCCCAGGCCCCGCCTCCTTTTCCCCACGCACACAAGCTCAGCCGAGGGCTCCCTGCTCCAGCCAGAGGTGACTCAGGGCCTCAGGGTCTGTGGTGGAGACGGGAGGGGCTGGGAGGGGCCGAGATTCTGCTAACAGATCATCCCCGGGAGGTAGTTCTGGACCCCAGTGGTGGTTGAATACCCCTTATCCCAGCCGGGTCCCTCACAGTGACACTCCTGCCAACGAATCTCGGGCGGCCCCTCCTGCTGTTCCCAGGTAACAAGGATGCACCTGCAGTGGGCCCCCGACACAGCTTGACTGCCACTCCAGAGCCAGAGCTGTGAGGAGCCGCACCGGCCTGCCCGGCGCCATCTGCGAGCCAGGTGGGGTGTGGGACTGGCCTCCCTGGGCACTGTCCCCAGGCAGGTGACACAGCCGGACTCCCAGGGCCTGGAGTTGCTGCTGGTTGTCAGTCCCTGTGCCTTTCCGCTTTCTGCCCTCCTCTGTATGTCAAGTATTGCCCACAGCCTCGTGTCCTGGTCTCTGTCCTGCCGGTCTGGTCCTGGGGGCGCTTGTACTGTGAATCAGGTGTTCACATCACACTTAATGACTTCCTTGGCACCGATCATGTATTTCACCATTTGCACTTTTTGTATTTCAATAAAAACGGAGACAGAAAGCTGCCCTTCTGGCTGTTGAAGTGAAGCCGGGTCAGATGGGGACCCCAGAAGTCTGCTCCCCTCGTCTGGTCCACTGCTGAGTGGCCTGGAGGCCACGTGCTGCCCGTTCTGGCACACCTCTCCTATCTGCGCGGCCACCATGTGCTGTGGTGCCCTTGGATGGATCTAAGGCAAACAAGACAGAAAACACCTGAGTGGACTGTGGTGGGTGACGGGATGAGAACCGCAACGGGCATTGAATCCGGTTCCATCACCAGCTCTCAGCAGCGGCCCTGGCTCTGACCTCCATCGGAAAGTGGCTCTGGTTCCCCTGAGGAGCAGATACCGCACGCTGCCCGGGGGCCACAGAAGGACCAGGAGCGAAGTGAAGCGGGGACGGGGGCCCTCAGCCCTGAGCACTCCTCCCCTCCCGCCCTGCCCTCCCTCGACCGCCGAGGCTGCTTCCCCGTCCCCCAGCAACACGGCCACTAGAAGAACCGCTTTTCCTTTCCTCTTTTAGAAGGCTTAGCTTTGCTTTACGTTGAAGGTTAAGGTGGTAAACTCTGTGATGTGCACTGTAAGATGACAGAATCTCACTGGGCCACGTGTGCACTGCTCACCTGCTAACCGCAACCAGGAAGCTGTTCTTTTTCCTCCATGCTTGCTAGGGCTGCGGGAGCCAGGCCAGAGCTGCAGGAGCAGGCAGCCTTACTAACGTGGTGTTCTAAACACCGGCCCTGACGGCCGTGGCTTTCATCCAGGGAGTTCCAGAAAGATGGCCGCCCTTCTCATTGGCTCTGCTCGGCTCTAGGCTGAGCCTGTTTGGAAGACAAGCTGTGACCCAGGGAAACAGGGTGGGGTGGGGGAGCAGAGCTGTTTACTTGGGTTGGGCTCCTGGCAGGGCCTCTGCTTGAGTGACTCAAATGTCAATTTACCAGGGGCTTCGCAACGCAGGCCTCCGGGGGGTGAGGCGGAGGGAGATGCGTTAAAGGGATAGGACAGCGCTGCTGGTCACGGAGCAAGGGAGCACTTGGCTTTTGTGGGGACACTGGGGACAGCCTTGCCAGCATTTCCGACCCAAGGATTGGGCAGCTCTGGCCGGCTGCATGGTCTGGTAGCATCATGGTCAGTGTTGCGTGCAGTTTGCTAACAAGCGTTCCCTGACCCTTACTGGTATGAGTGGGCTGGGTCTGGGCTGAATTTAGTTTTGCCTCTAGAATGTTGGCTCCACTTTCAGCTCCCTCCTCCCACAGAAGCCACAAGCCAGGCGGCAGGGGCTGGCTCTGCCAGAACTCAGACGTCTGCAGCCGGAGCCTCCAGGGGCCACAGGGCCGATCCCTGCAGGGCTCCCCAGAACCTGCCCAGTGCCGTTGCCGGGACTGGCTCAGGTCTAACTGCCCAGGCCGCTGACTTCCTGCCACTTCACTCAGCAACGTGGCTTCTCTGGTTGGCTCAGCTGTGAGCTGTGATCTGCCATTGTCTCTTCTCTGTGGTGAGCTGGGTTACGTAAGGAGGAATAAAGAGCTGGCGGCAGTGGCCTACATTTTATGGGTGTGTTCCATACGCATGTCGTCACTGAATACTCAGACGTGAGCCCTTGCCACAGGAACACTGCAAGGACTTAAGGTGCTTAGGTTTCCTGAGCAGCCCGTGGTTGCCCGGCTGCTCAGCAGCCAAGCCCCAAGACTCAACCCAGCCCGGCCTGATGTGACCAATCAGTGCTCTTCCCTTCCCCCAGGGAGCTGGCGCTGACCGAGCGGTGCACAGAGACGCAGTGCTGTTTTCAGACAACCTGCAGGACAGGAGGCTGTGAAGTACAGAAAAAAATTTTATTGGAAATCTCTTGAATATGTTTTGAAGTGTAGCTCAGCATTTCCAAACAAATCAGGTTGGAGAAGGAAGAGGGACTCTGGCACCGGGAGACAGCCGACTGGTCCCAGGCTGTCCCTGGGCGCCGCAGGACTCCGCGTGGGCTCATCCTTGTGTGCACTGGGCTGAGGTCAAGGGCAGCTTTCACAGTTGCTTTGCTCCTCCCAGTCTTAGCTCAGTCAGGGCTCCGCCTCCCCTGCCTCTCCCTGATGGCTGCTGTCCGTGGAGGCTAACAGTGACGGAGTCAGAGAGGACTGTGTCAGACGGTGGCTAACAGGCCTCTCCATGCGAAGGCCTGGACAGAGGGCAGCAGTTGAAGTTCCACCTCCTCTTCAGCATGGGGGCCTTGGAGGTTAAGTCTAAGTGGGTGAGCAGGCCACGGACATGCTGAGGCCCAGACAGGAGGGCCAGCTTGCCGCCACTGCTGGGGACATTGGTCTGTGATGGCAAAGCATGCACAGGGACAGGGCTGTCCTCCGGAGCCGGCTCTAACCCTCAGCTGCGGCTGCCCAATCCCTGAGAGGCCCGGTGGGGTGGGCAGGCCTGCTCTCAGGCAGGCAGGCGGCCAGCCTGGGGCCAGCGGGGGAGGCCAGGCACTTGACTTAGTCAAGCACTGATACTGAAGGGCTAAGCCAAGCACATGCCCAGCTTTGGTTTCTCAATGAGCAGTCAGCCCAGCTCATAAATGCCAGGGCCGTGCACAGACCCTGGGGTTAAAGGAGGCAGTGGCCAGGCCCAAGTACACTGAGAAGGTCTGTGGCCCAGCCCCGGGGATCAGGACGTGGGGCCAGGCAGCGGGGCATGCACACGATGCCTGTGGGTGGCACAGCTTGGGAGTCACTGCCTTTAGCACCCAAGGCCTCCTGGGCGGCCAGAAGAGTCAGCGGCGCTGTCTGTGGAGCCGAGGCCTCAGGCTTTGCCAGGAAGACGTAGCATCCGTGGGAGAGCCTGTGCCAGTTCAAACCCGGCCATGCCGGAGGGCGCTCTGCCCTCAGCCAGCCCGAGCCCTGCAGCCCGATGGGGGCGGCCCGGGAAGAGGCCCTCCCGCTTCCCCAAGTGAAAGCATCTAACCTCAAACATATTTCCTCTATAAAATATCTGATTTCTCTGAAAGTAATAAATATTTACCGTGTTCTATAACCAAGGAGCAGCAACCGGGGAGGGGGGGCGGGGGGGGCTCAACGGTGACGCCCAGTGCCTGGGCCCCAGAGACACGGGTTCCGCCTCCCCCGGGGCTGAGCGAGGCAGCCGCCAGGGCCGCTCGCCCCTCGCGCAGAGGCTGGCACGGCCTCTGAGGGTCGAGATGGCTTTGGAGTTCTCGTCGCCTGCTGGGGATGGCCTGTCATCACCCGCAGCTTGGGGGTGGGGTGGGGGGGTGGCACAGGGCAGAGAGGGAGCGAAGAAGAGGAAGACTCCAGGAACTGAAGGGGAACAGAGCGGGCCTCCAGCTCCCGCTCCTTGCTGTCCGCCCGCCATTGGTCTCGGGGCCCCCAGCTCCAGTGTCAAAGGGCACGGGTGGAGCCGGGCGGGAGGCGGGCAGCAGGAGGGCGGGGTGGATGCCTCCGTGAAGCAGCTGATGGCAGGCAGGGCGTGCACACGGCCCCGCTGAGGGCCCGGCTGTGACATGGGCGTGCACACAGCCCCGCTGAGGGCCCGGCTGTGACACGGGCGTGCACACGGCCCCGCTGAGGGCCCAGCTGTGACACGGGGGTGCACACGGCCCCGCTGAGGGCCCGGCTGTGACACGGGCGTGCACACGGCCCCGCTGAGGGCCCATCTGTGACACGGGCGTGCACACGGCCCCGCTGAGGGCCCGGCTGTGACACAGGGGTGCACACGGCCCCGCTGAGGGCCCGGCTGTGACACGGGCGTGCACACGGCCCCGCTGAGGGCCCATCTGTGACACGGGCGTGCACACGGCCCCGCTGAGGGCCCGGCTGTGACACGGGCGTGCACACGGCCCCGCTGAGGGCCCAGCTGTGACACGGGCGTGCACACGGCCCCGCTGAGGGCCCGGCTGTGACACAGGGGTGCACACGGCCCCACTGAGGGCCCATCTGTGACACGGGCGTGCACACGGCCCCGCTGAGGGCCCATCTGTGACACAGGCTCTGCCCACCTCCAAGGCCAGGAGTTCTCTTGAACGCTGTTATTGGGCTTGACTGGTGCCATGGAGTCTCCAGGGGGTCCGAGGGCAGGAACTTCTGGGTCCCTGTGAGGAGCCCATCGCCTCCTCAGCTGGCTTGGGGCAGGAGAGATGAGAGCAGCTGACGAGTGCTGGGCTCGCCCTCCCTGGGGCCGCAGCGACGCCAGGGCCCCGAGGACACGTTTACTGCAGGGTTTCCACAAAGGCGTCAAATTCTCGGACGTTCTTCTCGTGCACAGCCAGCTTCTCTGGGAGCGAGTCCTGCGCCAGGAGACAGAAAAGAGCTGCTCACTTGGCAGGGCCCTGGAGGGCAGCCGGCCTGGCCGTTAGAGGAAGGAGGGAGTGAGATCAGGGGTGGCCGGGCAGGTGCACAGCAGCCTGGGGAATCCTAGTGGGCCTCACAGTGACACAGCAAGAACAGGTGACACAGAGAAAGGAAGATGACACAGTGGCACAGATCAGACTGGCAGGCTGGAAGGACCAGGAACAGTTAATCCAAGACGTCTTCACACCCCCGGCAGGGCATGGAATCCCCCGGGAACAGGCGGTCCTGTGGTGAGGCCTGGGACTTTGCATCTGTGCACAGCTGGGAGGGGATTCAAGGGGAATGAGAGAGAACATACACAGGGAAACAGCTGTGAGCATCAGTGAAAATCCGCTGCTAGCCAGGTGGCCCGTCTCCCCACGAACAGGCAGACGTAAGCCGCCTCTGGGGAGCTGACCTCCCCGCTGGGCTGCTTGGGACCTGAAGACTCACACACTGTCTAACCCCAGAGCTCAGACACTGAGGCTGGCCTGCGCACAGCTGCCTGGGGAGGAGGGAGCCGCGGGACCAGCGCGTCCCAGCTGTGCCATCGTGTCGAGTTCCGGGACCACGTTTCCTCCCAAGCGCACGTCAAGTGAGAGGCAGGGGAGTAAGAACCAAAACCAACTTCAACAGCCAGGCGGGCTGGGACCAAAGCTTTCGTTTTGCCTGGGTGTGTGTGACCACAGGCAAGTCAGTTTTCTTGTCTGATAACTGGGATAAGAAAAGCTACCTCTAAGAGCTGTCACATTCATGTTAAAGACTCAGAAAAATGCTGGGCACAGAGAAGCTGCAGGAAGTGTTACTATCAACACCTATTACTGGGGCTGGTGTTGCAGAGTAGCAGTTAAAGCTGCTGCCGGCGATGCCAGCATCCCACATGGCTGCCAGTTCATGCCCAGCTCCACTTCCGACCCAGCTTCCTCCTAATGGCTCAGAAAAGCAGTGGAGGATGGCCCCAGTGCCTGGGCCTATGACACCCGTGTGGGAGACCCGGATGAACCTCCTGGCTCCTAGCTTTGGCCTGGCTCATCCCTGGCAGTTGTGGCCAGTTGGGGAGTGAATCAGCAGACGGAAGACCTCTCTCTCTCTCTCTCTCTCTCTCTCTCTCTCTCTGTCTCTAGCTCTGACTTTCGAATAACTGGATAAATCATTAAACAAAAATAATTTCTTCTTCTACCTACGTTGTTGTTATTGAGCAGGGCCTTAATTTCTGTAGAGGACACTGACACCCCAGGGCACCGGGCACCCAGAGTCTGCGGCTTGTGCAGGAAAGAGGAGATGCCCTCGGCAGAGGTGCGGTCATTCTGGTCACCACAGGACATCTGGACAAACAAGGGAACCACGAGCCGAGGGCAAGGAGCTCTCCGAGACCGGGGCGGGAACACGGCACTCAGCCTTGGACCACGGCGGCCTGCTGGGCAGACTCGGCAGCAGAATGCAGAGCTGTCAGAGCGGCCTGGCTCGGCGCACTGGCCAGCAGCACCAGAGCGGGGGGCGCGGGGGTGCTGAGGACAGACACGAGAGGAGCTGAGCCCGAGCAAATCCAAGCGGACTCCAACCTCTTCCTCGTTCCAGGGGAGACGCGAGCGGTGGGGGGGCGAGGGCAGAGGGTGGGCTGTGGTGGGGGAAGGGGCTTCCATACCAAGTCTTCAGCCATGGACTGTGCTCCAATATCGATGGAGAGGCTGCTCAGCTGAGGCGGGTTCTGGAATTCCCGATAGAAGGTCCCCAAGTCCATTGGGAGAATATCGTCTTTAGAAAAAGCCGGTTTCTTTAAAACAAGACAGACGCGGTTTAGCTTGCTTTGGGTCAGAGGGAATGGCGGAGGGCAGAGGCTGTGAACCAGCCTCCTTGCAGACGATGACGCTCAGGCGCCGGGCTCCTCCAGGCTTAAATCACGGGAGGGCTGGGCACAGGGTCTCCGGGCTGGTGACAGCATCACTCTGCCCTGTCGACGTTTGCATCTCCTTCCTCCAAATTCCTCTCCTACGCAACGGGCAGCCATTCAGGCGCGAGGAGCACCTAAGCGGGAACTGCTAGAAAACTCTCCATTCTGAACGGCAACCAAAGACACAGTGCAAGATGCCCTGCCGTCAGGGTCCTGGGCAGGTAGCCCACGTGAACGGCACAGGAGGGCCCACGCGTCCATCCCTGCGATCCCTGGGGAAGGGGGAACCTTGCTCAGCTGCGAGAGACGCCTCCCAACGTCAAGGCAGTGGTGGCAACTTACAAAGTCGATCATCACGAAGTCATCGTGGGCGTTGCCGCTGCTGCCTCCACTGGAGCCGTCTGAGTGCAGGCTGCGCTGGAGAGGAGACTCGGGGTCCGGGGAGTCTGGGGGGTTCACCTGTTTCAGAACACGGCAGAGTCAGGGGCGGATCCTGCGACCTGGAGACAAGAATCTGAGGAAGGGCTGGCGCTGTTACGCAGTGGGTTAAACTGCTGCCTGTGACAGCAGAATCCCGGTTCAGCTCCCTGCTAATGTACCTGGAAAAGCAAAGAAGATGGCCCAAGTACTTGGGCCCCTGCTCCCGGAGGGAGACCTGGTTGGAATTACTGGCTCCTGGCTTCTGCCTGCCCAGCCCTGAACACTGCCGCCATCTGGGGAGTGAACCAGCAGATGAAAGATTGCTCTCTCTTTAACTCTGCCTTTCAAACAAATCGATCTTTTAAAAAAAAAAAAAAAAAAAAAAAATCTGAGGATTCTGTAGGGATCCCAGTGCTGTGTACAGATCCCTAAGCCACGAGGCAGGGCCTGCCGTCTGCAGAGGGCTGAGTGCCTGCAGCCCAGGAAGGGTGACGACGACGGCAACCGTAACTGGAAATGGGCGGTCGGTGGCGGGCTCACCATGGGGTCAGTATCCTCCAGCTCCAAATCCTTGGGAGCAAACATGGCGAAGGGTATGTCCAAGCTGGTCAGGGCCACCTGCAGAGACCAAGGGAGAGCGTGGGTGCCTGCCCTCCTCCCAGCAATTGCGCTGCCCTCTGGCTCCTGCTCTGTCGGAGGCCCCAGGCCCCCAGGCCTCCTGCCCCCATCATGAACAAGGTCTGGGCTCCTGAGAAGTGCAGGGGTCCAGCCTGGAGGTTCACTCGGCAGTCACTAGGACAGCACGCCTCACTGGCCTGCCGAGGACAACTTCCCGGTCAAGTACGGCTGAGGCCGTGCACTGACTTTACACAAACCATGTCCGCGCTCTCTCTCTCGGAGGCTTAAGAGGTCTACACTTTCTCAGGAGGGGTACCACAGGTTACGAACTCTCACCACAGTCAAACCTATAAGCACACACACTCCCGCCCCATGCCCACAGTCAAACCTATAAGCACACACACTCCCGCCCCATGCCCACAGTCAAACCTATAAACACACACACTCCAGCCCTCCCCCCCCACCCCAAGTCTTGGTATTTCCACCGATTCCGGGTTACAGGGCCCCACTCTAAGAACTCAGACATTCTCCCACCGGGCGATGGCGCAGGAATCACCTGGTTGATGGGCTTGTTGACGAAGGCCCCCACTTTTCGGACGAAGGCTGTCTCCAGGACATCCCGGGGGGAGGCCCGCCCCTCGCTGCTGTTCGACACGGTTTCCGTATCCTCGCTGCAGAAGGAAGAGAAGGGCGGTAGCGTTCTCAGGCACAGGACAGAGGATGTCCTCCCGACACGCACCGGCTGTGGACTGGGCCCAGGGCAGGAGTTGGCCCGCCCAGGCCACCCACAAGGGAGAAGCGGTCTGCGGGCCGGCTGCTACCGGTCACCCCGCATTTGAGTTGACAGCAGAGGGCCGCACGTCCTGGAGCAACTGGAAGTTATGCAGATGTGGAGGCAGAGTGTTCCAACTCTGTAAAGCCTACATGAACTTTACTCTCAGATGCCAAGATCAACATCAGCTGCCACACGGGGCAACAAACAGGCAGGCGATTCTCATTAACTGTAATTCTAGCACAAATCTGTTAGCCAGCAAGGCCCCAAATTTTAACTTTCCTTCGCTCTGGGTTTTTTTTTAAAGATTTATTTATTTGAAAGTCGGAGTTACAGAAGGAGAGTGGGATGGGGGGGAGGAAGGAGACAGACAAAGACAGAGACAGAAAATCTTCCATCTGCTGGCTCACTTCCAGGATGGCCGCAATGGCCAGCTCTGGGCCAGGCCAAAGCCAGGAGCCAGGAGCCCCTTCTGGGTCTCCCACGTGGGTGCAGGCCCTCAGATCGGAAGTGCAGCAGCCGGGAATCGTACAGCATCGCAGGTGGCAGCGTTACCTGCTCGGCCACAGCCTGTTTTAGCTATTTAAACCTACGGCAAGGCTGTCCTGTAGGCAGTCTAATGTTAACTTCAAGCTTCAGTGACTCACAGGAGCCCCAGATTCGATTCCTCAGCCAGCCAGAGCTCTCTGCACCCCGGACAGAGGTTCTCAAGACCCTAACCACGTGTCCTCCCCGGTCCTTGCTCCCAGGCCTCCCTCCATCCCTCGATGTCTCTGGAAAACACAGCCAACTCCGCCACTCCCATCCCCACCTCCCCTGCCCTCCAGGCTGATGCTGAGGGAGAGATGATGGGGGACTCTGAGCAGCAGAAATGGGGGTTCCTATGGTGCTGTGAGCAGTGGAGGTTAGGGACGGTGCCCCGGCCAAAAACACGCTCCGAGTGGCCTCCAGACTCCAGGCAGCAGGGGATCCGAACTGATGAAAGCTTACCGAGCTCTAATGACCTGCATTTTTTTAAAAAAAGATTTATTTATTCAAAAGGCAGAGTTAACAAAGAGAGAAAGAGACAGAGACAGAGACAATGAGTGAGAGGCATCTTTTATCTGCTGGTTTATTCCCCAAATGGTTGTAAGGGCCTGGGCTGGGCCCGACCAAAGCCAGGAGCCTAGAACTCCATTCAGTTCTCCCACGTTGGTGGCAGGGGCCCAAGGGGCCATCTTCTGCTGCTTTCTCCAGCACATTAGCAGGGAGTTGGACTGGAAGCAGAGAAGTGGGGACTTGAACTGGCGCTCGTATGAGAATCCAGTGGCACAGGCTTAACCCGCTGCACCACAATGCCAGCATGATCTGTGTCTACGAATGCCCCCGCTGCTTTCGCTACTGCTGGACAGACCCAGGAATTGCAGCTCAGAAAACAAGAGTGGAATGACTGAGTCCTGGGGCCGGCGCTGTGGCGCAGCAGGTTAAGCCTCCGCCTGCAGTGCCGGCACCCTATATGAGTGCTGCTCCTCTTCCAATCCAGCTCTCTACTATGGCCTGGGAAAGCAGTGGAAGATGGCCCAAGTCCTTGGGCCCCTGCACCCACATGGGAGACCCAGAAGAAGCTCCTGGCTGCAGACTGACCCAGCTCCAGCTGTTGAGGCCACTTGGGGAGGGAATCAGCGGATGGAAGACCTTTCTCTCTGTCTCTCCCCCTCTCTGTTTATAACTCTGCCTCTCAAATAAATAAATTAATTAATAAAAAAAAATGAGTTCCTCTTCTGATCCTCCTACAGAAGCTAGGATGACAGAGAATGGAGGTTTGTGGGACCAGGACTGAACTGATTTCTCCTGATGGATGGCGTAAAACGATTTTCCCAAGCAATTTCCCTCCCACCATTGCACTGTGGGAATGAAAAACATCAGGAATTTCTAGGATGAGAACATTCATTTTCGATGTGGTGGAGCACTGTGATCTCATTTTCTCTGGGGCTTTCCGAACCAAGGGAGAGCAGGGCAGGTCAGACCCACTGGGGCTCCCAGGGGAGCGCCGAGTGCACTGCAAAGAGGGAGCAGGGGCTCCGGGGTCACAGGATGTGGGCTGTGCCCTGGCTGCTACGCAAGCTGAGGGCGCTGGCCAGCTGCCTCGCCCTCCCGAGGCCCTCTCAGCCTGAAAAGCGAGCAAACAGTGGTGATTTCTGCAGGGTGAAAGAGAACTTCCACTTCCTACCTAACGGATCGGACTTCACAGACAGCATCACTCTGGTAATCGGAAAAGATGGATTCCACTTTGTTTATTGGTAGAACTCATCAAAACCAAATTCTCATTTCTTTTTGGACATTGTTTCACACACACAACAGACCAAAAAAAATCAACTTCACAGATAAAAAGAGAAACTTATTTTTGTCTTTCCTACAAGCCAACTACTTACAGCTACATATACCATCATTATTATTGTTTTGAAAAAGATTATTGCTCCAAATAAGATATTTTGTCATTGCTTTTTTATAAAAGGCTTTTTTCTCCTTTAAGAATATAGTGAACACGGCCACACCGTAAGTCAAGTCAGAAGTAGGACAGAAGAATCTGAAGGCTGGCTTGATCACTGAGAGATCACTAAAAATGGCTGATTCCTAACAACATTTACAAAATGTAAAGTGTAAACAAAAAATAGAAATGTGTAACTTTTAAAAAATATTTGTTCATTTATTTGAAAGTCAGAGTCAGAGCGAGAGGGAGAGACAGAGCGAGATTTCCATCCGCTGGTTTACTTCCCAAATGGCTGCAAAGGCCAGAGATGGACGGGTCCAAAGCCAGGAGCCAGGAGCCTCCTCCATGTCTCCCACGTGGGTGCAGGGGCCCAAGCATTCAGGCCATCCTCATTGCCCTCCTAGGTACACCAGCAGCGAGCTGGATCAGAAGTGGAGCAGCTGTGGGCCCAGCACTGTGGTGCAGTAGCTTAATCCTACGCCTGTGGTGTTGGCATCTCCTATGGGTGCTGGTTCTAGTCCCAGCTGCTAAACTTCTGATCCAGCTGTCTGCTATGGCCTGGGAGGGCAGTAGAAGATGGCCCACGTCCTTGGGCCCCTGCACCTACATGGGAGACTGGAAAGAAGTGCCTGGCTCCTGGCTTCGGGTCGGCGCAGCTCCAGCCATTGCAGCCATTTGGGGAGTGAACCAGCAGATGGAAGACCTTTCTTTCTGTCTCTCCCTTTCACTGTCTGTAATCCCACCTCTCAAATAAAATCTTTAAGAAAAAGAAAAAGAAGTGGAGCACCCGGGACTTGAACTGGTGCCCACATTGGATGCCAGCATCACAGGTGGCAGCATTACCAGCCATGCCGTAATGCTGGCCTCTTATAAAGTACTTTTCAGTTTTGGCTCTTCTCCTCCCTTGTTGCAAATTCCTATGGTGCTGGCTGCACCATAAAGAGTGCGTGTCTTCTGCAGGTGGTGCTGCCGGGTGGGCGGCGCCCTCTCTGTGCCTCTACCTCTCATCTACCTTCATATTCTGAGATGGAAGTGGAGGGTGAAAAGGTCGCTGCGGTCTTTCTCAACTTTTCCTTTTTTATTGTCTAGCCATTCTCGCCATCCTCAGCTCCCCGGTGTCAACATCATCATTCTCACCCTCCTCGCCCGCCTGTTTGCCCACAGCTGCCTCGGACCCCTCATCGTCAGCTCCATCACCTTCCTAACCACTGCCCTCTTTCTCCCCACCGCCTGCCTCATCGTCTGCCTCTTGCACCCCATTTTTCTCATTAGGATTTCTACTGGCACGGGCATCTCTTCCAATCTCTACAACTTCCTTCTTCTCCTTTAAGTCCTTGATTGTGACCTTGGACCTGGTGTCCGTATCTGACATGGTGAGGAACACTGCTGATCCCAAGCAGCAGATTTAAAAGAAAACAAGAATTTGGAGACTGGAGATAAAGACCCCGGAGTCACCAGTGACAGAGGAGGCTGTGGCAGGTGCAGACAGGCCCAGGAACAATGCGAAAGTGGCTTTTCAGAGCAAAAATAACTGTTTTCAAAACATCTCTAAAAAAACTAACAGGACAGGAAACCTACCCCAAGAGCAACCAACTGCGGCCCCAGACTCCAAGGCAATGGGGCGGGCCCGTTCGGACCCTTGGAGAACACTGAGGACGGGGCCAGCACCGTGGCACAGCAGGCTAAGCCTCCACCTGCCGTGCTAACACACCATGCGGGCATGAGTTTATGTCCCAGCTGCTCCATTTTCAATCCAGCTCCCTGCTAAAGGCCTGGAAAAAGCAGCAGGAGATGGCCCAAGTTATCGGGCCCCTGTACCCATGGGGGAGATCTGAGTGAAGCTCCTGGCTCTGGCCAGGTTCAGCCCGGGTAGTTGCAGCCATCTGGGAAGTGAAAGTAGATAGAAGCTCGCTCGCTCGCTCTCTCTCTCCCTCACTGACTCTCCTCTCTCTGTAGCTCTGACTTTAAGATAAATAAATAAAAGGGATAATAAACAAGCCCCCATTGCCTCAGGCCTGGGTGGGCTTCCTCATGCTCCAGCTGCAACATAATGCTTTTATCAGGAGCTTTAAGGACATTACATGTAGGCACAAATGCCAAGCCTGAACAGATGCTGAAAGCTATCTGGATACTTCAAAAAGTTTATGGAGGCCGGCGCCATGGCTCACTTGGCTAATCCTCCACCTGCGGCGCTGGCACCCCCGGTTCTAGCCCTGGTTGGGGGCCCCGGATTCTGTCCTGGTTGCTCCTCTTCCAGTCCAGCTCTCTGCTGTGGCCTGGGAAGGCAGTGAAGGATGGCCCATGTGCTTGGGCCCTGCACCCGCATGGGAGAACAGGAGGAAGCTCCTGGCTTCGGATCGGCGCAGCGCCATCCGTAGTGGCCATTTGAAGGGTGAACCAACAGAAGGAGGACCTTTCTCTCTCTCTCTCTCACTGTCTAACTCTGTCAAAAAAAATTATGGAAAAAACAGAATTAACAGATAAGTTTATTCTGGTACAAAAATTCTGAAATCCAAAAATAGTTTTTTTTTTTTTTTTTGACAGGCAGAGTGGACAGTGAGAGAGAGAGACAGAGAGAAAGGTCTTCCTTTGCTGTTGGTTCACCCTCCAATGGCCGCCGCGGCCGGCGCGCTGCGGCCCGCGCACCGTGCTGATCCGATGGCAGGAGCCAGGAGCCAGGTGCTTTGCCTGGTCTCCCATGGGGTGCAGGGCCCAAGCACCTGGGCCATCCTCCACTGCACTCCCTGGCCACAGCAGAGGGCTGGCCTAGAAGAGGGGCAACCGGGACAGAATCCGGCGCCCCGACAGGGACTAGAACCCGGTGTGCCGGCGCCGCTAGGCGGAGGATTAGCCTAGTGAGCCGCGGCGCCGGCCAATAGTTTTTTTTAATCATAGGCATTTCCACGAACTTTTAGAAACCTTCTCTTACTCTTCCCTGACACCAAACAGGCACACGTGTGTCGGGGGCCCAGGCCCCTGGCTGGTCTTGGCAGTGGCAGAGCTGAGGTATGAACTCACCTGCTGGAAGGTGTGGCAGCACAGTGGGCCCCGTCAGAAGGGGTGTAGGTGGCCAGTCTCTCCTGGTCAGCCTGGGCACCGTGGGCAGGCTGGCTGGGAGCAAGGGGTACTCCACCTTCTTTCCCAGGGACCATCAGCTTGGAGAAAATGGAGACACAGTGACTCAGGGCGGCGCCGGGCGGTGGGGAGCCTCGCGTCCTGGTAGGACGCATCTGCTGTTGAGCGTGCACCACGCCTGCCGCCACACACACAGTACAACCTCTGGATGTCTGTCCCCGGGGACTCGGCCAATGGGAGACATGCATGGCGATGGTGCAGAGAAAAGGGAGGAGGGAGACAGATGGGGGAAGGCTTCCTTCCTTTCTGGAGTCTAAGAGAATCCTTCGTCTCAGTCGCCGCAGTCCTCCAAAGCTTCCTAAGAGCTCTGCTCCCAGACATCAGGGCGATACTTGTGTCCAAGGGGTCCCTCAACTGCCTCAGGGCAGGGGAGGCAGCTCCGGAAACCCCACGTCCTCCCCACCTGTGAAGATACCTGGTGAGGGTGTGTTGCGTTTAAGCCAGCAGCAAACACTACTGGATAAGCCAGGTCAGCTGATCCAACGCCCAGGGCAGCAGGCTGATAGGAAAGGCGAGAGCTTGAGAGCTAAGCAAGAGAAAAACAGAGAGGGGCAGAGGAAGGCAAGGGAAACGAGGCAGACCGAGAGTGTGGCTAACGCGGGAGCTCCCGGGCCAGGCTCCCACCCGCACACCCGCGTGCGTGCACGGGGCCTGAATACCGGGTTACCGGGTTGTGGCAGACCAGGCCTTTGTAGATGAGTAAACAGAGATTTGTCTCAACTGGGATTACGATTCCCAGCTTTGGAGACTCGGAAATGTCTCAAATGAACTCCTTGTTCCCCCTTTCCCAGGCTTTGCTACCGTTTCAGTTTCAAGCCCAGCCGATCTGTGGCGCACAAGCCGGGGCAGAGGCCATTGCACTCTCCTTTGTCCTTGATGTCCCTTTGAAATGGAAGGCCACGTTCCCGAATCAGGCCCTCCATCACCCCTGGGTACCAGAGGGCTCCTATTTATAATGATGGAAGAAGGAACACCAGACTTGGACTGTTTATTTGGAAATTCAATATAAATAACTCTGCTTATTCTTCACATTAATGGTAGGAGGCGGGGCAAATGAAAGCTCCTATTTTGGGCTGCTGGGCTGTGGCTGCGCCTGTTGCAATCAATTATTGAGCCTCAGAGTAATCCCACAGAACACTTGGAGGCACTTAACTGGACCCTGTATCTGTAGTCACTACTTTAAAATAGAAAGATGCAACTCATGCTATCCCCTTCTTCCCATAATGGACTCACTTGATGGGAAAAGGCCAGTCCTGCCATGGGGACCCTCAGGGTGTCCGTCACCACAGGAGTAGGGGTCTGAAAATGTGCCTTTGTGACAGTAAACACACACTGTGCACAGACACACATAGAGACAGGAGAAACGAGAAGAAAAAGAAAAGGGACTTGAGAAAGAAGTGAAAACAACTCAGGAAAGGGCAGTGCCAAGAGGCTGGGATGGACACTGGCGAGCCAGGAGGGAAGTGGGGAGAGGCGCCCGCTGGCTTCCCTAGAAATGACACTCATCCCAGGCACTCCATGCGTGCTGTCTCCCTGACTAGCAGCTTTGGGGGGCGGGGGGCTGACTGAAGCTGGTATCACTGGGAAAACAGAGAAACCTGAGCCAGGCATTAGGTTGTCTTTAGTCAGGAAGGCTGGGAGGAAGTGAGAGGGCAGCTCGTAACAGGAAAGACCTGAGAGCAGAGGCCAGGTGCGCAGGGATGAACGCGGATGCTGGGCCTGTAAGGCCAGACGAAAACCTCTCCCTGGGACCCACAATCTGCAGGGACAGGCACAGGTTAGTTGGATCAGGTGACATTTGTTGGCCAGAACTTTAAAAGGTTCCAGTGCGCACTGTCCATGTCACCCTGGGTAGGCAGGTAGGGGTGTGTGTGTGTGTGTGTGTGTGGTGCTCATCCTCACAGGCCTGACAGTTAAGCAAGTGGCTGAGCCGCCTGCATGCCACCTAGGATTACCTGGCTCTAGCTCCTGATTCCAGCTTCCTGCTATGTAGAACCTAGGAGGCAGCCAAGCTGTTGCAAGGATTTGCGTTCCTTGCTACCCACGTGGGAGACCTGGATTTCACTCCGTCTCCCTACTTTGGCCTGGCCCCATCCTGGCCATTGTGTGTATCTGGGGAGTGGACCAACAGATAAGAGCTCTATTTCTGCTTCTCAAAATAAATTTTATACAATGTAAAAAAAATTCTTATAATTTCAAAGCTGTATATAAACATGATTATTTGGGGTCTTGCCCTTCCTTCCTTCCTTCCTTTTTTTTTTTTTTTTTAAAGATGTACTTATTTTACTTGAAAGTCAGAATTATAGAGAGGCAGAAGCAGAGGCAGAGAGAGAGGGGCTGGGGAGAGATGTCTTCCATTCGCAGGTCCATCCACTCCCCAAACAGCCACAGTGGCCGGAGTTGGGCCGATCCGAAGCTAGGAGCCAAGAGCCTCCTCCTGGTCCCCCACAGGGGTGTAGGGGCCCAAGGGCCTGGGCCATCCTCTACTGCTTTCCAGGACCACAGCAGAGAGCTGGATCAAAAGTGGAGCATCTGAGATTCAAACTGGTGCCCACATGGGATGCCAGCAAGGCAGGCGGCGGACCCATCTGCTACACACAGAGCCGGCCCCTCCCTTCCGTTTTTAAAACTGAGTAAGAGGGGCTGGCACTCTGGCACAGCAGTTAAAGCCACCATCTACAGTGCCAGCATACCATATGGGTGCCGGTCAAATCCTGGCTGCTCCACTTCCAATCCAATTCCTTGCTGATGTGTCTGGGAAAGCAGTGGAAGATGGCCCAAGTGCTTGGCCCACTGCACCCACGTGGGAGACCTGGAAGAAGCTCCTGGCTCCTGGCTTCAGTCTGGCTAAGCATTGCTTTTTGTGGCCATTTGTCAGGTGAACCAGTGGATGAAGCTCTCTATCTGTGACTCTTTCCACTTCCCTTTCTGTCTGTGACTCTGCCTTTCAAATAAATGAATTGATTTTTTTTTTTTTTTGACAGGCAGAGTGGACAGTGAGAGACAGAGAGAAAGGTCTTCCTTTTTCCGTTGGTTCACCCCGCAATGGCCGCTGCGGCCGGCGCACCATGCTGATCCGAAGCCAGGAGCCAGGTGCTTCTCCTGGTCTCCCATGAGGGTGCAGGTCCTTTGGGCCATCCTCCACTGCCTTCCTGGGCCACAGCAGAGAGCTGGAAAGGAAGAGGAGCAACTGGGACAGAATCTGGTGCCCCAACCGGGACTAGAACCCGGGGTGCCGGCGCTGCAGGCAGAGGATTAGCCTAGTGAGCCGCAGCGCCGGCCCTGAATTGATCTTTAAGAAAAAAAAAAAACTGAGTAATGTGCTTCACTTAAAATTGGAGGTACAACTTTAGGTCACCATAGCAGGTTTAGGGTCACAAGTATTGCTCGACTCTGTGCAAATAACAACAAACATGACAATACATGTATTTACTACTCTACCAAAAGTTCTAATAAAAGTTGTCCATTAGTTATGCAAGCCCCAAGGCTAATCTAAGGAAGATGCTATCTCAATGTTAACAGAAACAAGAACTAGCAACAGATGCTTTTCTCTCTACCGGTGAGGTTCACACTGCACCAAATTGTATCAGAGGTTACCAGGGACTAGTGACAGGGCTCCCCTATGGCATGCATATTACTGATAAAACCTTGGCGTCATCTACTTCTGAATTGTGACAAGACACAACAAATACAAATGATACCAAGAAAAAGATGGCCTCTCTTTACACAGGCCAACCAATTTTATGCAAACACCAGGTGCATCCCTTTACTCTTGGGGTCAAATTCCTCCAAACCGTCACCCCTTCGCTCTCGAGTCTCAGCTCTATGCACTGCTTATGTACTAACTATACATAGAACAAAATAAAACTGTTCAAGCAATGAGCTTAAATTGTGTATGTCCACATGCTGGATGGTGAAAAATGAATCTACTCCTGTTAATGCAAGGGTAAGAGAGTAGGCCTGTCCCCCCCGCTTTTTTGTCAGTGTTGCCATGTCACTGTGCATACCAGCCCTGCCCAGCACAATGCGGACAACCCACACCTACACACATTCACGGGGGAGGGCAATTATTCCCAAACCCCGAACCAAAGTGGGCGGCTTGCAACTGCAAACAAGAATCTCTTACATGCTAAATAAATCACAACCATAGAGATGAGAGTGATCCGTGGACTTTGCAGTGTCCCTCCCGGGCGTTACCTCCTGCTACTGAAACAGATTAGAACCACGGTTTTAAACTGATACCTCCTAAACAACCCCGGATGGAAAATGTTTTAGTTTTCATAATTAAAAAACAAACAGAAAATAAAAACCTGTGTAAGAAGTTAATAAATGGCCAGGTTAAAGAGTAATTGTGGGCTGATAATTTAAGGTAGGTCTAAGAGAAATCACCTGACATGAAAGGCAGAGAGAGGGCCAATGGAGACAGCTGGGGGAGGGGTGGGGGTGTGGGCAGGGACCTGGTGGCAGAGAAGGGAGTGGAAGGACTAGGGGTGGAAGGGAAGGAACGTGCCCCCGAATTCAGTTAGCTGGAAAGGACTACTGCCTGGCCGACAGTGTCAGCACCGTGCATGCTACCCAACAAGACCGAGGAGAAGCTTCCTCCAGGAAGCCGACAGCATCGCTTGGGGTCTTTCATTGAGACTGGGTTTGCCACTGCAGACAGACTCAAGCAGAAATTTTGACGGTGAAAAAAAAAATCTGCACAGAAAATGGGGATTGGCAGAAATCTGTGTCAGCTGCGAAAGGCTGCACTCTGGGTTTCTTACTGGCAATCTTATACCAAGGAATCATTTGCTCTTTTGGGGTTCTTTCCATTATTCCATTATTAGGAACAAATCCGTCACTTCCAAAGCGAAATCGTTACTACATTCACAAGGACGCGTGAGTGCACCTCTCTGGGACAGGATGTTTGGAATCCTGTGACTGATTTTCTAGGGACTGAGAAGATGTGGTGAGGAAGGTAAAGGCTCCATGGAATCCCAGGGGTTCAGAGCAGTTCCAGGTGAGAAACACGGCAATGACAGCCATTGGAAAGAAGGTCTCCTCAACCCTAGAAAATTCCACTAAAACAATCCTCACTTTCACAAAAGGGGACTGTAGCCAACTTTGGACACTGCTCCCTAAGGCTCATACATCTTTACTGCAGAGCTGTCACCACTCCAGAAGCTGCTTCCCTACCTGGGATGGAGGGGAGGTGGAAAAAGAGGTGGTGCACACTTCTTGAGAGTCTTCCACGGATGGGTATGCGACCCCGGGGTCCTCACCGGTAGCTCTAAGGTGAGAGGAACAGAAACAATGGATTTTATGTGGTGGCACTCAACTTCAGAGAGGATACAAAGGGTGGTGAGAGGAGGACTGGAACTGTGCCAAGAACTGTCAGGCAGAGTTCACAATGACAAGAGAGGCATGTCGATTCCTTGATAATTTCAAACATTTCCAGAGATCAGCATCTAGAGATTGGACAATGACCTCTTTAAAACCCAAACAGCCTACCTCTCCTACCACTTGAGAGTCCTTTCTTAATCCAGGCCAACGTAGGGGGCCAGTCTTGGATCTTCAAAATTACCAATAATAGACTCAGTGAAATGCAAGCTGAATCCCTAAAGACAAATCTATCAACTTCACAAATCCATCACATAAAAGTAAGATCTGAAACACATCTATTTCACCCTCTAGAGAATTCTGTTTGTTGCAATCTAGACCTGGAGACATTTTATTCCAATGTATAACTAATTATGCCAGATGGAAACCTGAAAACTAATTTGCCAAGAACATTCCACAAATAACTGCCATTCTTGTTGTCTCTAAGTAATCTGCTACTGAGAAATGTTCTATTACTAACAAGATCCAAATGCCCACAAATTTTCTAACATTCTGTATACCCCAAGTCTTGGTATACCACAGAGGCATGAGCAGGAAAACTGGTCACTTGATTTCCCTCCACCTGGGGTCAGCACGCACGGGGAGTGCTGACAAAGGGGCTCTATGCACCTGTGCAAAACGGATGCCATCTGGGAAAGCACCTTTCACATTCCTCACCTGTAATTGCAGGGATGCATGGGAGAGGAGCTGGGATAGGGCCGGTCCACAAAGTGATCAATGATAATCCCCATGATAGGTGGGGTCCGCTCAAACTGCCTGTAATGCAATAAGCAGATTGCAGTACTGACCAGAATGCCTTTCGAGCACTTCCCCCCCCCACCCCCAAGGCCTCAGAGACCCCTCACTTCGTATCCATCAGCAGGTGTCACCAGGGCCTTAACTACTGCAATCTCTCAAATACAAACCCCAAGCTCTACATCTGGGACACACTGGCTCTGGGACACTAATTTTCCAGTCTGACAACTGCGCTTTCTTTCTCCATTTTATTCTTCTAAAGGGACTACTTTCAGCAATGGCAAAGTTGAGTTGTATTCTTAGCCTTGGAGTTTGAGGAGGAAAAAGCAATTTAAAACCTTTGGAAGAGTTCTTTCGGGTTCCAGAACTCTCCCTCACCTGGTTGACATGAATGCCAAGTTAATTCTGTAAGCACAAGAAAGAGTGATGGTGCCCACGGGGGTGCCCACTGTCCCAACACGAACAGTCTGGAAACCTAGGAGAAGAAAAATTATTAGCTTTCTCCTACCCCAGAGAATACTAACACTACTCCTAGTGTGTCTTCCCCTGGATTTTTCACATTAATTCTGGCTATACCCATTTAGCACCATGAGTGCAGTGTCTCAATTTCCCATATCTGTGTTTATGTATAAACCTAGGTTTTCCTCTTCCAAATGATTCTACATCAACCCAATATTGGCAGGGGACAGCACTCGTTTTCCAAGGAAAATCATTTCAAAGAATAAAAAAAGAAATAACTGTTAGTCCTAAAACTTGAGACCTTTGCAACCAGCCCTGTCTAGGCATGTCACATGTCTCACCCAACGATACAGAGAAGGAACCCCAGGGATCACACAGGCCATCTCAACATATGAAGAACCACTCCCACCTACGCAGCCACTCCACAGCTAAGTACAGAAGAGTCCCCTTGCAGGTGACACTTCCAACCCAGCTTTCCTGGTTTTCTTGGTTTCATTTCTCCTTTTTCCAAATAGTTGGTGCTCATCAGAAACAGTTAACATGCTCATTGTTGAAAACTAGGGAAATGGGGGCCAGTGTTGTGGTGCAGCAGGTAAAGTTGCCTGCAGCGATGCTGGTATCCCATATGGGCATCAGTTCAAGTCCCAGCTGCTCTACTTCTGATCCAGCTCCCTGCTAACGTGCCTGGGAAAAGCAGCAGAAGATGGCCTAAGTACTTGCGCCCCTATACCCATGTTGGATACACGGAGGGACTTCCTGGCTCCTGCCTGAACCAGCCCCAGCTGTTGTGGCCATTTTGGGGAGTAAACCAGTGGACGGAAGATCTCTTTCTCTCCCTGTCTCTGCAACTCTGCCTTTCAAGCAAACAATAAACAAATCTTTAAACAGAAAAAGAAAACTAGAGAAATAGGCAATTATGTGAAGAGTAAGAGTAGTTAAGTTTCTAGAAATTTGAGTTGAATTATTTGGTTATCCCTTAAAGATCCCGGGACCACCTAACCTGCTTTCCATTTTTTCCTTACTTATATGTATTAAGTGTACTAGCTACATATTACTATAGTTGGCAATCAGGCTCATTTAAGAAGTCAAGAGAGCCCTTAATACAAGTGGTTGTTTGTTTTTTTTTTTTTGTTTGTTTGTTTTTTAAGATTTATTTATTTCAAAGGCAGAGTTCCAGAAAGAGAGAGAGGGAGAGACAGAAAGAGAGAGATCCTCCATCCGCTGGTTCACTCCTCAAACAGCTACAATAGCCAGGGCTGGGCCAGTCAGAAGCTAGGAGCTAGGAGCTTCTTCCAGGTCTCCCACATGGATAGCAGGGGCCCAAGGACTTAGGCCAACTTTTGCTGCTTTCTCAGGCACATTAGCAGGGAGGCGGATCATAACCGGAGCAGTCTGGACCGGAACTGGCGCCCATAGGGGATGCTAGTATCGCAGGAGGCAGCTTTACCTGCTATGCCACAACACTGGTCGCAATACAAGTGTTTTTCAACCTTCATACATACCTTCTCCTAGGCCATTCAGTTGAACTTCCCCAAAATATATCCTGCAGGGAAGAAAAAGGAAATGTTACTTGATTCTTTACTCTAAGAGTTCACATAGCCCAAACACCTAGGAACAAAACAAAAACAAGCCTTTCTTTCCTTATTTGCATGAATACGTCTCCCAATGGGACCTTAATGCTACTAACGACTTAAACTAAGCTGCAGGCCTAGATATATTTGGAGAGAGCTGGTTAAGAAATGAGGAAAATAGTTAAGAAGAAGCTGCTATTAAGTTTTTTCTCTGCTCTTGTTCTTGCAATGCATTTTAAAAATACAACCTAGTGGGAAATAACGACTACACAACCAAAATTGGTAAACAGATCTGAGATGGCCATGAGAAGACCTGGAGCTCTGCATGCCTGTCAGCCACTCCCAAGTGCATGGGGAAGACAGCAGAAAAGGTTCTCCAGCACAGAATAAGTAACAAGGTGAGGCTATTCCGAAAGGACACAAATGAACATAACAGAATTTCCCCGGGAAGTTCTGTCAACATAAACAAACAAATCTGGATTTAAAATATCTGAATGTATTTTCACAAAACAGTGTTAACAATTAGGGGCCGGCATCTGGCACAGCAGTGCAGCCACCACGTGGGACGCTTGCATCCCATCTCAGATGTTTAGGCTTAGACCTTGGCTCTCCTTCCAACTCAGCTTCCTGCCACCACGCAGGAGACCCTGAGTGAGTTCAAGGACCCTGAGCGAATCCCAGACTCCTGACTTGGTCTGGTCCATCCCCACCCGTGGGCACCTGGGATGCAAACCAAGAGCAGATGGCAGATGGAAGATGAATCTCTGTCTTACAAATAAAATAACAATAAATAAATTTCTTTCCTGTTAGAAAATCTTTAACAGTGATAGCTGACTTCTAGCTTTTTTTTTTTGTAAGATTTATTTATATATTTGAAAGGCAGAGTTACAGAGAATGAGCAAGAGAGAGACAGAGATCTCCCATCCTCTGGCTCACTCTCTCAAATGGCCTCAACAGCTGGGGCTGGGTCAGGCCAGGTGGAAGCCAGGAGCCAGGAACCCACTCCAGGTCTTGCACATGGGTGCAGGGACCCATACACTTGGGCCATCTTCCACTGTTTCCCAGGCACATGAGCAGGGAGCTGTCTGGAAGTGCAGCAGCTGGCACTCAATGTCATGCTCTGTTGGAGGATGCTGGCATCACAGGCCACAGCGGTTAACCCACAGCACAACAACATGGGCAACTAAAAATTTTTTTAAAAAAGGATTTCTTTACAAAAAAAATTAAACATATACTTATGTTTATTTAGTAAAAACTAAGCTCCCACAATGAATAAAGCCCCATGGTTTATTAGGGATAAAGATAAATCTGAGACCCAGGTCTGGGGATTATAGTCCATTATGGGAGAAATGTATATAAATACCTCCAGGAATGGAGGACTGGCTCAAGGCTATTCGAGATTTGTATGCCATGCAGTCTGTAGCAACTACTCGGCTTTCTTAGTGCGAAAGTAAATATAGCTAATATGTAAGGAAAAGGCTGGGCTGTGTTCTTAAAAAAAACTTTATTATCAGAGCCGGAACTGTACCTTAGTGGGTTAAGTCACCACCTGCAGTGCTGGCATCCCATATGGGTGCCAGTTCGAGTGCCGGCTGCTGCGCTTCTGATCCAACTCCTACTAATGGCCTGAGAAAGCAGCAGGAGATGCCACAAGTGCTTGGGCACATGGTAGACCCTGAAGAAGCTCCTGGCTAGGGCCCAGCACTGGCTATTGTGCCTATTTGGGTATTGAACCAGCAGATGGAAGACTTCTCTCTCTCTGCCTCTACCTCTCCTTCTCCCTCTCTGTAGCTCTGCCTTTCAAATAAATAAGTAAATAAATATTTAAAAACAATCACAATAAATAAATTAATTTTGTTAGAAAATCTTTAGCAGTGATAACGGACTTCTAGCTTCTGCCTCTGCCTCTTTATACATCTGCCTTTCAAATAAGTATATGCATCTTTTTAAAAAAAATAAAAATAACAAAATATTGCCAAAAGAGATCTTGGTAGGTCCATTTAATAAAAATCTGACAGAATCTGAGTCAGTTGACTCTTATTTGAATAGTGGTGCAGTGTGTAAAATATGCTGCCTATATTACTAAAGCCTTCAATTCAACTGCTAATCTTTTTTGTACCAAGGTTTAGAGTTCGCCTTTGTTTCTTTATCTTTGGAGAGAGCAATATTACTCAATGAGTATAGTCTGGCTACCTATATAAGAATCAAAGAGGGGCCAGCATTGTGGTGTAGCAGATAAAGTCACCACCTACGATGCTTGCATCCCATATGGGCGCTGGTTTGAATCCGGCTGTTCCACTTCTGATCCATCTCTCTGCTAATGTGCCTGGGAGAGCAGTGGAAGGTAGTCCCAGTTTTTGGGCCCCTGCACCCACATGGGAGACCCAGAAGTTCCTGGCTTCTGGCTTTGGTCTGGCCCAGCTCCAGACTTTGTGGCCATTTGGGGAGTAAACCACCAGATGGAAGATCGATCTCTCTTTCTCTTGACTCTGCCTTTCAAATAAATAAAATAAATCTTAAAAAGAATCAAAGAGGGTGCCAGCATTGTGGCATAACAGGTTAAACCGCTGCCTTCAACACTGGCCACAAGGGCACTGGTTTGACCCCGGCTGCTCCACTTCTTATTTGGCTCTCTGCTAATGAGCCTGGGAAAGCAGTGGAAGATGGCCAAACCTGCATCCAACCTGGGAGACCTGGATAGCTCCTGGTGCCTGGCGCCAGACCAGTCCAGCCTCAGCCATTGCAGCTATTTGGGGAGTGAACCAGCTGATGGAAGATAAATAATTAATAAATAAATCTTAAAAAAAAAAAGGGGCCTTTCACCAGATGGTGCTGAAGGCAAAGAGGGAAGCTCCTGCCTCCCCCAAAGCCAAAGCCAAAGTCAAAGTCAAGACTTTGAAGGCCAAGAAGATCAAGAAGTGTAGAAAAGCATCCACAGCCACAGAACAAAAGAAGACCCACACGTTGTGCAGGTTCTGGGGGCCCAAGACACTATCCTCTGGCAGCACAGCGTGCCCCAAGGAGAAACAAGCATGAGTATTAAGCCATTATCCAGCTGCCCCTGAGCTGACTATGAAGATAGAAGACAACGACAGACTCGTGTTCAACAAGCCCCAGATAAAACAAGCTGTGAAGAAACTCTATGACACAATGTGGCCAAAGACAATACCTGACAGACCTGCTGGAGGGAAGGCACATGTGTGTTCAACTGGCTCCTGGCTATGATGCTCTGGATGTCACCAACAAAACTGGGATCACCTAAACTAAGTCCGGCTGGCTAATTCTAAATATAAATTTTTTTACCATTAAAAAAAAAAAAAAAAAAAAAAACAATCAAAGGGAAGGAGCTTAGTACAGGTAAATGAGAGGTAGGAGACAGAAAATAAGTTTGTATTATATGTGAATAAAACAGTGATTTTCAGACCTGGGAAGGCTACGGAGAAGTCCACAAAAACTGATTAAGAGGGCCAGCATTGTGGCGCAGTGGGGTAACCTGCTGCTTGCAACACTGGCATTCCACCCACACTGCAATGCTGGTTTGTGTTCCAGCTGCCCCACTTCTGATCCAGCTCCCTGCTAATGTACCTGGGAAAGCAGCTGAAGATGGCCCAGGTACTTGGATCCATGCCACCTACTTGGGATACTTCAGTTGGGAGTTCAAGGCTCCTGGTTTGTGGCCATTTGGGGAACCAGTGGATGGAATCTCATTCTCATTTTCTCTCTCACTCCCTGGCCCTCTCCATCTCTCTCCCTCTTTCTTTGTAATTCTGCCTTTTAAATAAGTAAATAAATTAGTAAAAAAACAAACTGGAGCAGATGTTTGGCATAGTGTTTCAGACGCTGCTTGGGACAGGCATCTGAACTGGAATCAATGCCCGTGATCAAGTCCTGGCTCCACTCCCATTTCCAGCTGCCTGATAATGCACACTCTGAGGGGCAGCAGGTGAGGGCTCCAGGACTTGGGTCCCCTGCCACTCACATGAGAGACCCAACGTGAACTCTTGACTCTGCTTCAGCCTGGTCTGTCCCTGGCTGTTGCAAGCCTTTGGGAAATGAAGCAGTGGATAAAGATCTTTCTCTGTCTTTGTATCTCTCTGTGTTTCAAATAAAATAAATAAAAATCTAAAATTTAAACAGAAATAGTGGTTAGCCCAAACGTTTTTAATTTAATGCTTGAATATAGAAGATTGTTCAACCTCCCCAAAATAGCCTGTTTTAAGATGTCTTAAGCTCTATTTCCTGATTTGAGATGTGTATCAGCACAGATTTCAAAAATCTATTATACAAGAATCAAGCCTATACAAATACAAAAGGACAATGAACCTGGTGGCTTGGAAAGCTGAGGTTCATAAGACTGGATAGCGATCACATTAAATCTTTAGCATCAACAATCCAACCAATCATAATCACAGGACACCTGAATGGCAATTAGACAATGTGCAACATGGTAAGGCTGGTGAGTGGGTCAAGAGGTACATCTATGCTGTTTACCTGTACAGTATGACGTATTCATGCCCCTGTTTTCTGGAGAGTCTGTAGGCTGGCGTTACCCGAGTTATTGCAAGGAGAGACTTCAGCAGCAGTGACAGCCTGTTGTACACCGTGTAGGAAACTTTGATTTCTTTATCACACCTGAGGAACACACATTCACTGTCAACGTTCTGCTATTAAATGCTGGAACTGCACAAGGCAAAAATGGTGATTAAAGCATGTTCTGAACTAGAGGGATAATCAGTTGTCAGTTTATCACCAGATGCTAGGGTAAGCCAAAGTTTTACTTTCTCATGCTCTGGACACAGGTGGACTGCACCAAAGGTGCTGGGTGTTTTCTTTCTAGCTTTGAAGTGGTTATCTTGCAAAGACATAAAGCAGCCCATTTAAAAACACATACATTCTGATGTTGCCATGTGCTCTCTCCTGAGCTGTGTACTCCACAATCTAACAGGAAATCTGGAGAAAAGTGTTTGGTACTAAAATTTTGAACTATAACCTGGCAATTGCTTTATATTTAAGAAAGAAAACAGGGGTCAGTCAGTATTGTGGCTTAGCAGGCTAAGCTGCTGCCTGCAATACTAACATCCCATATGGGCACTGGTGTGTGTCCCAGCTGCTTCACTTCAGATCCAACTCCCTACCAATGCACTTGGTAAAGCAGCAAAAGATGGCCCAAGTGCTTGAGTCCCTGCCACCCCCATGGGAGACCCAGATGGAGTTCCAATTTCCTGGCTTCAGCCTGGCCCAGCCCCAGTCTTTGTGACCATTTGGGGAGTGAACCAGCAGTTGGAAGATCTCTCTCCCTCTTTCTCTGCCTCTGCTCTCTGTAACTCTGCCTTGCAAATAAATAAATAAATCTTAAGAGAAAACAATGCTCACACCGCAGCACTTATCACTAAGATTTTTCTTTTCATGCGTTGCTATTTCCTCAATTTTCCTGCCTACTCTTTGAAAACAGAAGCTGCAGGCAGGAGGGAAGCTAATCTGCTTCAGAAAGGAGGAAATAATCTCCATCTCCATTCCATGACCAACGCAGTGTGTAAAATGCGGCAGTGAGGGGAAGTCTCCTTGGATGCCTGCCACACAGAAAGCAGACAAAACAGAGCAGTCATGTTACAAGAGCTCGCCAGGGATTTAACCCGAGAACGAGCTGTACCCTGGGAACACAACACAGCCTTTTCAGCTCTCCCTGCGGCTTCTTTCCCTGCGGGGTCTGAGTCTCTCTGGACTGCCGCCCCTCTGAAGGTCATCTCTGTGCTGAGGCTGGAAGCCAAGCATGAAGCAAATTGTAGCAAAGACTCACTGGCTTTGTAAGCAGGTCAGAAAGCCCTCCAGGACTCTGAAAACAAAGGCCTGCTTTCACATGACATCATGTGCTTTATCTCCTCAGCCACCACAACCAAGGATCCAAAGATAGAAGCACTTACTTTTCGTTCATTTCAAGACACCAAATTTCCAGCTCCATAGAATCTCCCTGTAGATAAGACAATTGAAATTTGTTTGATCTTTTAAAAAATTACCTTCTTTTTTTATTGCAAAGCAGTACACAGTCACTTTAAATATACTGGAAGGTAGTGGTGGGCATATAGCAAAGTGGTTAGATCGCTGCTTGGGGTGTGGGAGTGCCTGTTTTGAATCCCCACTACTCTGCTCCTGATCCCGCTCCTGATCCCACTCCCCGGGAGGCAGCAGATGATGGCTCAAGTATTTGAGTCTGCCACACACATGGAAGGGCCAGGTGAAGTATCAGGCTCTTGGCTTTGGCCTGGCCCAGCCCTCTTTGTTGCAGACATTTGGAGAGTGACCCAGCAGATGGAAGCTCTCTCCACTTCCTTTCAAATAAAATTAAAATAGATAAAATAAATTTTTAAAAATATTGGAAAGTACAGGTAAGTAAAAGGGGGGGGGTGTCAATTTAGAATCCAACCAGCCACTTTTCTAAATACAAGTGGGATCACATTATATATCATATTTATCACCAGCTTTACTCTTAATAAATACATCATAAAATTTTCCTCATAATTAAAAATACAACATCATTTTTAACAGTGATACAGTATTCAGCCACACAACTGCTTTTATCCAAGTAAAATACATCCTAGAAAATACAAATTGTTTCCAAGTTTTCATTAGTACAAACAACACTGTGATAAAAAGTCTTGAGACTAAAACTCACACTCTCAATTTCTTGGAGGCAAACTTTCAGAATTAGTAACCCTGGAACAAAAAATACAGGCTTCTAAGATCTGCTACATATTTCCAAAGTGCCATTCAGAAAGGCCGATAGTTGCAAAATGATGGAAAGCTCTTTCCCTTCAATTCCACAGTGGATAATTTTAGATATCATCCACAGATAAGCAAATTTATTACCTTAACAAACTCCTTACTTAAAAGTATTTTAGTTGTCTGTCTTCAGCCCGACTTTCTGTGTTATTCTGAACAGACTTACCCCAGTGGATAAGGGAAAAAAACGAGAAGACTGGCATGTGTTGTTCACAGCATTGTGTTGAGACACAAGCATCCCACATTGGAGTGCCTGGTTCCAGTCCTGGCTACTCTGCCACCTTGTGGGAGACTTGGCTGGAGTTCCTGGCTCCTGGCTATGGCCTGGCCCAGCCCCAGCACTGGGTGAGTGAACTAGCAGATGGAAGATATCTCTGTCTCTCTTGTGCTGCCTTTCAAATAAACATTAAAATTAATAAATAAGTAAAAGACTACAATCAGAATCCCTCAATCTTACAACACTTCCGTGTGTTAACCTACTGTGACAGTCACGTATCTTTAAACACAGGTAATTTTTCCACTGATCAATTGGAAGAGGCTTAGTTGTTTTCTTTGTTAACAGATTTCATTTATTAATTTATTTTGAGAGGCAGAGTTACGGGCACAGAGAAAGAGAAACAGAGAGAAAGGTCTTCTATCCACTGGTTCATTCCCCAAATGGCTACCACAGGCTGATCTAAAGTCAGGAGCCAGGTCTTCCACGTGGGTGCAGAGGACCAAGCCATAAATAGTGAACTTGATTGGAAGAGGAGCAGCCGGGACATGAACCGGCACCCATGAGGCCTATTTTAAGCTTTGGAGTAAATTTGCATTACTTCATGAAACAGAACTTTTATGTATTCTAGATAAAATTTACTTTATTATTATTTTTAAAGATTTTTTTTTTAGGTTGAAAGTCAGAATTACAGAGAGAGAGGGAGAGAGAGAGAGAGATCTCCTTCCATCTGCTGGTTTACTCCCCAAATGGCCACAATGGTTGGGGCTGAGCCAGGCACTTCATCCAGGTCTCCCTAAAATTTAGATGTGTATCCTTCATCCCCTATATCCAAGAGTGTGATGTGGCTTCTCTAAGACAATCAGAACAGTCTACAAACATATCTTAACAGATGCCTGAGAGATCAAAGAGGCTTAGAAAAATAATTTATTCTATAAACCAGCATTCATGAAGAAGTTTTGTTTTACCAGGGGCTAGGGTCTCTGTGGAATACATATTGATTAACTCAATAAAAATTCATGAGGTGGGAGGGTCAGCACTGTGACGCAGTGGGTTAAAGCCCTGGCCTACAGTACAGGCATCCCATACGGGCGCCGGTTGGCTAGAAGACTTCTTTCTCTGACTCTACCTCTCTCTGTATCTCTTTTGAATAAATAAATAAAATATTTTTTAAAAAATTCATGAGGGGCTGGCATTGTGGTACAGTGGGTTAATTCACCACCTGCAACATGGACATTCCATATGAGTGCCAATTCAAGTTCTGGCTGCTCTACTTTCGATCCAGCTCCCAGCTAATGTGCCTGGGGCAGCAGCGGAAGATGGCCTAAGTACTTGTGCTCCTGTCATCCACATAGAGACAGATGGAGCTCTTGGCTCCTGGCTTCCTGCCTTTGGCCCAGCCCAGCCCCAGTTATTTGGAGAGTGAACCAGTGAATGAAAGATCTCTTTCTTTCTTTCTTTTTTTTTTTTTTTTTTGGACAGGCAGAGTTAGACAGTGAGAGAGAGAAAGACAGAGAGAAAGGTCTTCCTTCCGTTGGTTCACCCCCCAAATGGCCGCTACAGCCAGCGCACTGCGCCAATCTGAAGCCAGGAGCCAGGTGCTTCCTCCCGGTCTCCCATGTGGGTGCAGGGCCCATGTGCCTTCCCGGGCCACAGCAGAGAGCTGGACTGGAAGAGGAGCAACAGGGACAGAATCCAGCACCCCAACTGGGACTAGAACCCGGGGTGTCGGCATCACAGGCAGAGGATTAGCCTAGTGAGCTGCGGCGCACTGGCCAAAAGATCTCTTTCAATGTGTGTGTGTGTGAGTGTGTCTGTCTCTAACTGAGCCTTTCAAATAAATTCATTAATTTACAAAAATTAATGAAAGCCTACTATACGCCTTCCAAGGCTCTATGCTGAGTTTTGAGGACACAGAAGTGATTCTTTTTTCATATGCTTCTTTATTTCATATACAACTTAAAGAACTGCATAGATAAGATATACTGACCACAGGAAGGAAAATGGTTACAGTATGAATAGGAACATGTGTTGACTGCCTGTTGAGCACTTCACAAATTAAAACCCTGCAAGACTATCATTTTAGACTGGTGATATTAGTTGGGTGGGATTAAGTTGCTTTGTGTAGCTCCAAACTCCATTTGCCTTTTATCATACCACACAGTGTCACAATTTACTTGTGGAAATAGATTAGTAAACTTTCAAGTAACAGTATCTGCCTTAATTGTAATGTGAATGATGTGAGTACATATATTTTTAAAAATCATAACAGAATATACACTAGAAAAAACATAAACAAAGCACCCAAGAAGAAGTCTAAATAAAGCAGTTACCTCTCTACTAAAAGTTCTGGTTACTGTTTCCCACCCAATTTCCTGCTACTGACCCTGAGAAGGCAGCAAAAAAATGGGCCATGTACTTTTGTCCCTGTCCCCTATAGGAAACCTAGATGGAGTTCCTGGCTCCTCAGTCGGGTCTGGCCCACACCTGGCTGGTATAGCCATCAGGAGTGACTCAGTGGATGGAAGACATCCGTCTGTCTCTGTCTCTCCTCTCTCTTTCTCTGTAGCTCTGCCTTTAAAATAAATCAATATGGGGCTGGCGCTGTGGCATAGTGAGTAAAGCCGCTGCTTGCAGTGCCAACATCCAATATGGGCGCTGGTTTTAGTCTTCGCTGCTCTACTTCCGATCCAGATGGCCTGAGAGGGCAGTGGAGGATGGCCCAAGACCTTGGGTCCCTGCACCCGCGTGGGAGCCCTGGAAGAAGCTCCTGGCTCCGGGCTTCAGATCAGCTCAGCTCCAGCCATTACAGCCATGTGGGAAGTGAACCAGTAGATGGAAGATCTCTCTCTCTCTCGGGGCCAGTGCTGTGGCATTGCGGGTAGGGGCGCCACTGCTGCCTGCAGTGCCAGCATCCCATATGGGTGGTGGTTCGAATCCCAGCTGCTCCACTTCCAATCCAGCTCTCTGCTATGGCCTGGGAAAGCAGTAGAAGATGGCCCAAGTCCTTGGGCCCCTGCACCCACGTGGGAGACCCGGAAGAAGCTCCTGGCTCCTGGCTTTGGATCAGCGCACCTCTGGCCATTGCAGCCAGTTGGGGAGTGAACCAGCAGATGAACCTCTCTCTCTCTCTCTCTCTCTCTCTCTCTCTCTGCCTTTCCTTCTCTCTGCGTAACTCTGACTTTCAAATAAATAAATAAATCTTTAAAAATAAAAAAAAGATCTCTCTTTCTATGTCTGCCTCTCCTTCTCTGTAACTCTGCCTTTCATATAAATAAATAAATCTTTAAAAAATAAATAAATAACTCAACAAAAAAATCTTTACCAAAAAAAGGGGAGATTCTTGTAATGCACATGTGTCTTGAAGGATGAATAGAAATATGTCAAGTGGGGGCCAGTGTTGTGGCATAGCAAATAAAGCCACTGCCTGCAGCGCTGGCATTTCATATGAGAACCAGTTCAAGTCCTGGCTGCTCCACTTCTCATCCAGCTCCCTGCTAATGTGCTTGGGAAAGCCCCTGTATCCCTGGGGGAGACCCAGATGAAGCTCGTGGCTACTCAGTGTGGCCATTTGGGGAGTGAACCAGCAGATAGATGATCTCTCTCTGATTTTCCCGCTCTGTAACTCTGCCTTTAAAATAAGTAAATATATCGTAAAAAAAAAAAAAGAAGAAGAACTTACTTTATGTGGTTGCCCTGAGTACAAAAATCATGGGGCCAGGTCAGCATTGTAGCATAGCATGTTAAGCTGCTGCCTGCAGCACTGGCGTATTACATGGGCGCCAGCTTTGAGCCCCAGCTGCTCTCCTTCCGATCCAGCTCCCTGCTTACGGCTTGGGAAAAGCAGCAAAAGATGGCCCAAGTATTTGGGCCCCTGGGAGAGCTAGAAGAAGCTCCTAGCTCCTGGTTTCAACCTGGCCCAGAGCTTGCCGTTGGGGTCATCTGGGGAATGAACCAGCAGATGGAAGACCTCTCTCTCTCTGTATAATGCTGCCTTTCAAATAAATAAATTAAAAAATTACAGGGCCTGCAGAGAGTGATTCGAAGTTCAGAGAGGGGGAAGACAGCATAATACTGAGAAAGGAGTTGGAAGCAGAGTGTGAAGAGACTTGAGTGGCAAGTAAAGACACCAGCCTGGCCCCAAGTTTACCTCAGAAGTCTTGAGAGAGATCTCCACACACATGGACCTCCCGACAGCAGGCAGCTGTCCTGCCAGCGCCTTCTTTGCTTCATGTGTAACCTCTGGGATATCTTTGATTGCTAAGTTAAACTAGAAAACAAAAGGGATTTTCATGTGAAACACTCCCAAGAACACTATGGAGACAGCAGTATGTTAGATAACGCAGGCACTGCTGTGGTTGATAACACGGCCATTCACTTCCCCTTTCCCTACAGAGAGATCCAGCATCAAGCCTCCAAATCTCAGGCTAATTACTGTCACAAAGATGAGACAGCAGGACACTGCTTTTTGTCTTCTAAGGTCTAAGCTTTCCACCAATCACAGCAGAACATGAAGAAACAAATCAATGACTAGAATCTGATAAGGGATATACTTTCTGAGTAACTGGATTAAATGGAATTAGGTATTTTAATGCTAGGAATTAGTAATACTATCAATTGTATTCCTTATTACTGGACTTGAGAACTTCACACTCATTCCTTGTGACAAACACCACACTATGCCCCTTAGCAAAGAACAGGAATTTTACCCAGTCTGAACCCGTCGGGGATGAAGATGAGCGAGTACAGATCTTCTCACCAAGTCGAGCCTGGACGATCACTTGGACAGTCTAAAAACAGCAAACAAAACAGATGAGGTCTTAACAAACGGATCAGATGCCTAATCACAGCTTCAGGAAAGGGTACAGTTGTAAATGTTCAAGAACAGTAGAAAAACCACAAAAAAGATTATAAACACTCCTGAGGGAAAAGTGCCAACCAGTAACAGGAATTAATAGTTTGAGGCTTAGAATCTATAATATTTTCTTTTTTTTGACAGGCAGAGTGGATAGTGAGAGAGAGAGACAGAGAGAAAGGTCTTCCTTTTGCCGTTGGTTCAGCCTCCAATGGCCGCCACGGCTGGTGCGCTGCGGCAGGCGCACTGCGCTGATCCGAAGGCAGGAGCCAGGAGCCAGGTGCTTCTCCTGGTCTCCCATGGGGTGCAGGGCCCTAGCACTTGGGCCATCCTCCACTGCCTTCCCGGGCCACAGCAGAGAGCTGGCCTGGAAGAGGGGCAACTGGGACAAATCTGGCGCCCCGACCGGGACTAGAACCCGGTGTGCCGGCGCCGCTAGGTGGAGGATTAGCCTAGTGAGCTGCGGCGCCGGCCTGGAATCTATAATATTTTCACAGAGCAGAAAGAAAGCTGCACATGGTGGCTGTGAAGTTCATAAAGAAACAAGTGCAACTGTAGGTCTGCATGTTCCCTGTCACAAACTTCAGACTTCACGGTAGATTTAAAACAGGAATTCCACCAATTACTCATAGCATTTGGTCCACAAGGCCAAAGCTTTCTATATAATTTTACAACCAGCATCAACTGCAAGGATTGTTCTGGTAGA